CTCTTCTCTCTCTCCAACTCCCCCCTCTCTCTCTCCACCTCCCCCTCTCTCTCTGTGTAATACACACACACACACACACACACACGCGCGCGCGCGCACACACACACACGCGCGCGCACACACATACACACACACCTACATTTTGATTAACATCTCCTATTCAAAAATAGAACTTAGTAGCAAACACACACACAATATTTTTTTCCCGTACAACGTGTGAGTAGGTAGTAGGTGTCTCCGAGACGGTGAGTCAGTGAGGGTGAGCTGGAAAATTATCTTTCCTTGGAGCCCTCCCCATCTCCCCCTGGGTCCGGTTTTCTTCTTCTTTCCATTGTTCCCGAAACAGATCGTCCGTCCACGTCTTCTGCCAGTTGATCAGAAAGAAGTATTACTAGTAAGCCCATTTTTTAATACCGTTAATTTTCTCATAAGTAGCAGTTTCCCTGTGGTACCAGTTTAAGTCTAAGTCTAAGGTATGGGTAATGGTCAATATATTACTACATGTACTAATTTCGACCATGCTGAACAATGAAAACATTTTAAAGGAGTTATAATACATTATGAATGGTGTCGGTGACCTAATGATTAGGCTCTTGAACTCGCTACCGTAAGGCTGTGTGTTTGAATCCCGTCAGGGGCCTGACGTAAGATCCTTGGGTTAGGCGCTTTGTATATTGTACACCTACACGAATGTTCCTCATTTCACCCAGATGGGAACGGGTACATGTACCCTGGGTAATCTTGTCGTGTTAGTTATATGACGAGTAGCCTAACGCTAGCCACCCGACATCAGGCGAGTAGCCACTCCGTAGTTTGTTAGTGCTTGAGCGTAGTTTGCACTGGATGCTTCCCAGAAAGCTGAGAGTATCTGGGTGTTCTTCTCTAGTAGTTAGTAGGGTCTTTAGTTAGTTGGTTTTTTTATTTAAGGTTTCACGGTGCTCGCAATTGCATAAGGCCAGGTCATATGAGCGCCAAAGGGTGACGTGTTTAGTTGTAGTAAGAAGAGTTTTACGGCACTTGCAACACAGTCAGTAAGGCCAGATAACATAAGTGCCGAAGATTAGAGGTGTTACAGGAGAGTAACAAACGCAAAAAGGATGGGAGATAGAGACTAGATTTTTTATAGGAAAGGAGGAGCAAACCACACCAGAGCATCCGCCAACCACCCACGCCAAGGGGTGGATGTCAACAGAGAAGTCCTTACAGGGAATCAGACTTACTCTGCTTACCGATCTAGCCTCAACAGCACAAAGTCTGCTTCGACTATCAATGAGGCACCCCGGAAATAGCAGTTCACAAGAGAGTGACAAACATATTATATAGAAGTAGAGAAAAAAATGACGATAATAAGGATAAGGCAGATACATAGATATTTGAAAAAGATTCGATACAGAAGGAGCAAACCACAGCACCACTAATATAATAGTAGACATATTGACAACAACAAAAGTAAGACAAACAAGCTCATGTTAAGCAAACAAAATACTTTATTGATTAATACCAAAAAACACTCAACAACCAAAATGTTTTAAAAAGGAAAAAAAAAAACCAAAAACAACACATGATGAGCCCACACAGGGGGCGTTTATGAAAGAGTATGAAGATTTGTAAACATACATGACATGTTATGTCCACCCTGCCTCCACACAAGCAGAGACCCAACGGAGAAGCAATGGGAGGAGAGGAGGAGGAGGAGGAGGAGGAGGAGGAGGAGGAACAGCCTACAGGGTAGAACATAATGGTAGTAGTGGTAGCCATGACGAGATCAGTTGGTGTCTTTGCAAACCCACAGGGTGAACATGGGGGAAGTTCCTTAGCAACTTTATCATTGATCGACGGAACTTCACTAACAACTACTAGTGTGAACCTTATATATCTCTAGAGACCAGTGGAGCCAAAACCACAGACTAACCAACAGGCAAAACTTTTCAGTCAAAAGTCTCTCCACCAAAACCACTGACTGACAGAGGCAAAACTTTTCAGTCAAAAGTCTCTCCACCAAAACCACTGACTGACAGAGGCAAAACTTTTCAGTCAAAAGTCAAGTCTCTCCACCAAAACCAATGACTGACAGAGGCAATATTTTTCAGTCAAAAAAGTCGCTCCAACAAAGCTGACTGACAAAAGGCAATACCTTTCAGTCAAATTGTACCAAAACCACTGACTGACAGAGGAAACTCTTCTAGCTCTCAATACCTCAATTTCAAAACAGATGGTGACTGATTCGATGTTCAAATGTCTTAGCCGTATAACGTGTAAGTTGCTTTCTGATAATCTGAGAAGGTGAACATGTGTATATAATATATTCGGAATCCAGACTACAGCTAGCACAGGAGAATCAATATATTGGAGGAAAAAAAACGGCGATGCATCAACAAAGAAGCTTGCATCGGAACTTCATACACAATGAGCGCTTGGCACAACCATTATCTGGACTAATTGTCTCTGTTTTCATCAAGTCAACAGGATGCTCTCAAAGATGATGATGGTTGTAGCAACAGGAGTGGTACATTAAAAAATGGCAGTAGGTTTAAAGCACAAGTTATTGAAACAAAAACAACAGAGCATTGGCAAAACTTGACCTGAGGCAATGTCATGTGGTAGTTTGTTCATAACAGCATCCCAAAAGATCTGCAGTTGAGCTCAAGAGGGAGTCACTTAACACTTGAGGGGTGGGGGTGGATAGCAGTTTTACAAAACATAAATTATGGGCCAAAGTAAGTTTGCATCTCTGCTTTGGAATGGCAAAATCTTGAGAGGATGGTAACTTGACAGGGCCGTATACCAAAGGCATTGCCCGGCCCGTAGACTGCTAGCCATTCCTGGCAACAACAGCAGCCAGCCGGCGAGCAGTCTAGGAGCCCGGCAATCGGTCTTGTATAAGGCTCACCGTGATGCTTCTCTGCTGACTAAATGTGCGGTAAACAACACAGTATGAGATGTAACAATGACTGGACAATTAGTCGCCCCCTTCAACAGTTCAAAGGAGACTTACAAGAAATTCAGCAGTGACATTTGCAATAGCACATTAACAGACAAAAAGCAATGACAAATCTCTAGCCATGCTATTTGCATATTGTAAACAAATATTCCAAAAAATTTATGCTGTTATTTTGTTTTGTTGTTTTTTTTATAATTTCATGACAATAAACAGAAGAGAGTGTAATAACAAAATGAGAGAGAGACATCATGGAGCTATTTTCATGTTTGAAAAGGGGCAAGGTTAAAAACTGTAACTTTGTGTACCTTAACACGACTGAGTTTTAACAAAAACATGAAGATTGCTACTGCTTGAACAACAAAGGTGTAATAACATCAACATTACATGGCAATATTCGTAACAATCAACAAGGTGCTTTCACAAAAATTGTCCACATGAACATTGGTAAACCACATCTATCTATGATAAACCAAAGTGACACCAGGGGGGGCTCCAAAACTTCTGGGAACTTACTCGAAAATCATCTTTTCACTGCACCAAAATTAAAAAAAAAAATATCTACCACAAAAACACAACAGCAATAATCAACATGCTGTAAAACTACCGACACACAGCATAGCCTAACTTACAAGACATAAACCTTTCTTCTTTTGTAAACTGCTAGACCTGTTGGTCGGTTCCAACACACCAGACAACAGTAGGAACTTTAGTTCACAGGTAGTTCGACAACGCTCCAACATCACATTGTTCAAGCTACCTGGAAATGGTGAGGAAAAGTCATGGATGTGGTTGGTCAGTTTCCAACTAGGTAACATCATGACCGACGGTCTGTTTATTCCAAAAAATTCTTGGCACTAGAAATTGTCGTGCACCAAAGCTTTCGGTTTCTGACAACAATTCCATTCCCCCCTAACTGTTGAAATGTTGGAGACAAAAACGAAGGAGGGGGTGGAAAACCTTTTATTACTTTAAAAGTCGCAATCATCATTGAAAAAAATCAAAGAAACAACAAAGATTTTTAAAAAATTGATGTGTATGGAGAAACAACAGCCAACAACACATATATTATAATATTTAAAATTGAATATTTGCAAAAGAGCTGCAGTAACTGGATTAGTAAACCAATATGAAAGAACAAAGGGTCTACAAATAAATAATGTCCATGTGTACAATTGTGCAGCTTCTGGAAAAGCAGGATATTTGCAGTCCCTTGACCCGGTTAGCCCAGGGTCACTGACCTTCTGCAGAAAAAAAAGAAAAGTCTAGTTTGGCCTGGCCACATCACGTCCCATGCTTGCAGTGAGCAGGGAGCCAGCGACTCCCTTGTGAACAAGCACCACAGCTCTTTGTGTCATGCATACACATTGGCAAACGGCGAAAAATAAAAAATCAAATATTTTGAGACATTGAAATTCTGCAATTTTTTAAAAACCAAAATACAAATGAGGAGGGGGGGGGGGGGGGGGGGAATTGGATCTTTGTATCTTGTGGTTTTAGAGAGGGCCAGCAGTTCTACCTAACATTTGCAAGAGAACAGCAAAAATATTCAGCACCAGAAAGAAAAAAAAGATAATTCCAACTACAAAATGTCCAGCTGCAACAACAAGGAGGCAGTCCACACATCCCAACAGCAACGCCTGGGGACTGGTCTCCTCACGGTACAACCACACAACAACACTGGAACTTCCTTCATTAAATAACGAGGCAAGAAGAAACTAGTGGAGACGACGTAAGGATTTACCACACGGGTACCGTACAATCCTGTACTGTTTCCATACATGCCATGAAAAAGTTCTCTCTAACGTCTTCTATCTTGTTTTCTTCAACACAATAGGAACATTGCTGCAATCGACCTGTAGTTACCGACTACGATGACAAAGAAGCATTGCGAGATCAGCAAAGTATACAATCACACAAGTAAGTGGATAAATAAATAACACACCGTATACACACAACAGGTAGCAATAAAAGCATCAACGTCTCACTCATTTCTCAAGTTCAGAAATCATGTTTCTACGATTGGTTCAATCTACACCCCCCTGCTAATTGGTCTCAACATGCAGGCAAGCCAAAAAAAACCCAAACAAACAGTGGTCAGCATAGCAGCAGCAGCAATACTCCTGCTGAGTTAAGTGTTGCAGCAATGGACACTACTACTACTGGTAGTTTAAGAGATTTTACAGACCTGCCAACCAATCCCTCTGTGACCAAAAATACAAGTCAGTCTTCCCAGAATCCTCTTTAAAAATCGGGAGTTTGGGGGAGAAAATTAAAACCTCCACAACCCCAGTAGAATTAAGATCGTCGCGAATTGACGGTAGCAAATAAGTGTGTGAACTGCAAATAAACACAAATATAGACTCGTGTATTTTACTTCATTCACGATAAGTTGCACACGACCGAGACCGACAGAATTCAAGGGGGGTAAAAAGGGATTTTATACCAATCCATTAGTGGAGTTCTTTGGCAGGCTAAAAAAAAAAACCTCGGGACGTCTCCGATGTAATCAGAGTAGTTGACAGGTCTGAGTTTGGCAAGTGTCACAAAACAGCCATCATCTCCCTCACTGAGACACCCTTACTGAGACACCTCACAAAAAAACGAACCAATCTCTCCATCAGTCACCACATTTGGCAAGTTTCAAGAAAATTGAACAAGAATGCATATTTGGGTTGCTTGTCATGTGACATTCATGATGGTTTAAAAAAACAAACAAAAAAAGAAATGCATCAGTATAAAAAATGAGTATAAAAATCCCAGCGTAACAAGGGGGGGGATGCAGAGTAACAACAAAGTGCATCACAATGAGATACAACATTCAGCTTACAAAACCCCACCAGGCAGAAGGAAGGAGTATATCATGAGGAACGCTTCCCACCAAAAAACACAAAAGAAAAGGCTACCCGGTATTTCTTACCCTCTACTGTCGCCCCAGCAAACTCTAAAACTTTTTTTAACAGTTAACAGTTGTTTTTTTTTTATATAGTTTCTGTATTATTTTTGGTAAAAATGTACACCAACAAAACATGAAATGAAGAGTGTCTCCCAAACAAAAAGATCTGAAGTGGTAGGTAGGTAGGTAGGTAGGTAGGTAAGCGCTGACTGTTTGTCCTGAGACACTTCCCCAAACAGAAGTAAACGAGGCGCGAGGCGGGAGACGAGATATCACTGGCAAAAATATTCGCATGACTAGCCAGTAGCATCACAAGTTTTCACCAACACAAGTTTTCACCAACACAAGTCCATCCAAAACCTTGGGTGAGATTTGAAACGGACTGAAGAACCCGTGTTATCTTGAAGAAAAAAAAAGTAAGAAATTTTACAGTCTGGCCACAGAAATTCCGACCCTTCACCAAGACTTGACTGAGGACAAGCATAGCCCAAAAGTATCACCACCGACTTAAATTACAGGAAAATTTTAGTGTCATGAAATTGGACCCAGTCCATTACAAAAGACGAAATATTGGAGAAAACTACTGGACCCAACAAGAGAGAGAGAGAGATGTAGGCTCTATCTAGGCTGCGTCCTGCAGACAAAGACTGAACTGTCACTCAGCTCATCCACTTTCTCCGACATATATTTGTAAAACAAGAACAGATCAACAGATCACTAGAAGGTTTTTTAAGTCGTCTCTCCTGGGAGTAGTTCAAAGTTTAACAGCCTCTGAAGGACCTTGGAAAAGATGGGAGAAAATACTGGATGTTTCTAGCTGCACGTAGCAGACTGGACAGGTACAAAAAATCAACATACACACTGCAGCCATGATACGGCCAGGGAAACATTAACACACACCGCAGCCACATGGCTGGGCAAACAATTTATTGTCAGAAAGGAACAGAAAATACAAATGCAAAAATACAGTAATCACTGTTAACAGACCAACAATTAACACTATCTTCATATTATATGATTACAAGTGCGATGAAAACCCTGCCCACTTTGTTTGTTATGGTTTGCTCAACTGTCCACTCCCTTGTTCCAAACACGGAGAACCAAACAAGGAACAACACAACAACTTTGGGAATTGCTGGCCCACGCAAACAAAGTAAACAACAACAGTATATATATATATGTGTCAAGGATGATTTAGCAAGCCGAGGCACAGCACGCAGTGCACCTCCAGTAAGTATAAACATTTCCAAAAAACACATGAGATTTTCATCTTGATGAGTCTGTAGAAAATACAAAAGGTTCAGCCAGGTTATAATAAATATCCTGTGTTGGCTGCACAAAAACACAGGTCCTTGTCTGTAAACCCACAAAACATACACTCAAATCTTCTTACCCATTGTGCACCAATGTTCTTCAATAAGTACCCTTTAATAATTGAATCTTTTACAATCTCTTTAGATGGCCATTTCCAGAAAACTGACAACATTCGATTGAATGAGACTGCCATAGCTTGACATTCATGCCAGTGAAAAACGAGGAGGAGAAATGACAAATGACCACAAGAGCACCATTGTCCATGAACAGCGCTAACCAGCTGATAGTAGGAACTGAAGTGGCATGATGTAAGAACAGTATCAAAACCCCTAGCAAAAGCCGTTTGTAAATACTATTTCTTGACCCGCAAAACCAAAAGTTTCTTCCACAGATGTACAAACCACATAGCAATACACATCATCACCAAAAGCTTTTTTCAACACGGCCATTCACAAGATTGTTCAACTTTAACAGAATTCACAGACTCCAGAACAACGACAAGATTTGTCTCCACAGCTAAAATATACCGTGCTGTGTAGGAATAAAATACAGAGACGTTTTTTGCTTGAGGCAAGAGATTTGTGAATGCAGATGACTAGAACTTTTAAAAGGTCAAATCTGATAACAGACTTCACTGCATAAAATTAAATAACTTTATATAGTTTAAAACTACCTCACAATATTGCAAATTTCTCAACTAGTGTCCCCCGTCATGGGCTCTTGACAACAACTTCAACCTTTCCATCAACATTTTCTGTCCACTCAATATAGCTGGTGACGAGACATTAACCAACACTTTCTAATGGACTTCCTTATTTGGACTTAAAACTAGGGAATATTTTCTGTGAGCAATGAGCTGATAGGTCTACCTCAAGCTACGCTGGCCACACATCCAGCACAAAGACAAACGGAAACTAGTTATACTTCTCACTACTCGTCTCCACTTGAATCTCTTCTCACTGTATACAACCACAACAAAGCTGAGCAAAGCATTCAACGAAAAATGTACATTGTCTTCAAGGTCACCCAAATGCTGGGACACACAGACGTGCCCAAACTGGGACAACTTTGCCCATACAGTGGAGACATTACATTAATACACTATTTTCTGAACAAAAACCTGTTTCACTACAAATGTACCTTGTCTTTTTAACAGGTAAATACAAAAATCAACCCTCAATTCCACTCCAAACTTAAAAAGAAAAAACCCCCAACAAAATCGTAACGTAGCAACTGATGAGATCCCAACAACCCATCCCACTGTTGCAAAGCTTTCGTTAATTTGGAAAAAATAAAAAGTACATGTATTTCCCTCCCCGTTGGACCAACGGAAGTGCTGTGTCAAGTGTTGCTGAGTTGCAAAGAAAAGGGGTCCCTCCCCGGCGTGGGCTAGTGGCGCTGCCTCCAGCAGGCTCACTCACTGTACACACACAGAATGTATCACATCCAGCTGTCCCCTTTATCACAATGGTTTCCCATCCCTTCTCTCTGCTCTCGCCTTCTCCACTAACACACAATGGATTTGCTACCTCACAGTAGGGCACCCCGGGGCACATGAATGGACTTTTTTCTTTTTTACAAATATGGGGATCTTAGAGAGGAAGAGAAAACTTCTTCAAGTCTTTGAATTTTCAGCACAAGAGAAGCTCGTGGTTCTTGTGGCTGTACGTTACGTTACGTTCACGTTATACTTTTGACTTGGATAAAAACTAGAATTGAAGAAGACGATAGGCTACGCTCGCTTTTGAATTGGATAAAAAAAACTTTTAAGAAAACATATAAAAGGACTTGAGCTCTAAATTAGTCTGCATGAACCATGGAAAAACAAGTGATCAAATAGGAACTCTATCAAAAGCAACATTGTGAAAAATGACTGACAGTTTCTGTAGCAACATGTCCCTCAGTTCCCCATCACAGACAATTGTATTTATCCAAGGAGTTTTTGAACTGGCTGTTGCTTCACACTGAGACAAAACTCCACTAAACTAATCCACTTCAAAAAGTTGAACTTCTTTTCATTAAAGTAAAAGCCATTCAAAAAGGGCTCCAGGCGTGCAGGTCCCATTTGGACAGCCATATCTCAGTAGGAATCACATTTTGAGGGGGGGAGGGGGAAATAAATACTGCAGCACAAGGAAACAAAAATACAGAGATGACGGTGAATATCTTGGACAAAAGCCTACTGCGGAACGACTTTTTTTCAAAATCTAAATGGAAGAAAGTTTTCAAGTAGGCACACACTGTATGAGATACCATATTTCGTTAGGTTAAAACATTCAGTTGGGTTGGAATGTGGACAGCAATGTTTATAACAGCTTTCCTGTAGCCGGAGAAGCAAGCTTTTGCTACAACAACAAGTAACAAGGTTACAGTCCTCGCACCAGGAAGAAATATCAATGAGAAAATGAGTACAGAACTTTACCGCTAAATTTCCCAATCCTGGACAAATGGGGGTGAATTGAATGAACCAATGGCGCCTTAGTTGAAATAAGACAGGTTTGTGGAGTGTACATGTGGTCCATGATGAACACGGCTATTCCTTAAGCATGTTTCAGAGATTTCTATCCGCTGTGATTCAATGAGTTTGGTTTTGATTGGGTCCTACATGAGTATAAACAAGCGTGGAAGGTGGCTGGATCTTAAAATATACAATGGCACTTGCTTTGAAGGAGGGGAAAAAGATCATTCAAAATTACCGAAGAGACATAACACATTTCAACACTGTCTGGATGAGGACTTTTTCAAAAAAGTAATGCATTGTTACAGTTGATATATCCAAGGTCAACAACCAACAAAATGATGAAAATGGCTGGTGGTGGTAACATGAACTTAATGCTTGAGTGTAAGTAACAACTATTCTGCACTGACTGGGGACTTTGGTAAAACACATCTCAAACAGAGAGAACCCCAGTGAATGGATAACATGAATAACCATACGCATATCTTCCTGAAGCAAACAGTTGGCAAATTAAAAATGCACCAAAAAAAAACAGGAAAACTTGAAACAACAACACCGTCCCAACGTACAATGACTGGAGAGAGATTCTGCAGTCGTGATCACTGGCACCTACAATTCTTTTTTACTAACTATTCATCAAGGACAGGAGTAGTTTTTTAATTAATATCAGAACGAGTCTGGGGGCAATCATCCCCTCATCCCTTTCCCAATCTTGGGTACTACTTATGATATATTCAGTCTGCTTTACAAAGCGATTATCTTGGAAGTCCAAGCATCATATTTCTGCACGTGATTGAGAAAGCCAAGAGCAGGGAGGACTCCCGCATTACCTGAGAACAGAACTTCAATCACATCTGGGACTAGAATAGTTCTCTGCACAACAAACAAACCGTAGATCTGACCAAAAACAAATCAACATGTCTTAGCTCAGTCCAACTGTAAAGAACACTGGCAAGTTGAGTAGCACACAATACGAGCATCAGATTCAACTGCAACTCCACCTTACGGCTTACGGGGGAAACAACACGTAAACACCCTCCGATGATTTTCCTCACTTCTAAAGAATAAAAATTGTTTTAAAACACATACATACAAGTGAGTAGGGGGCTGTTGGTTCTCATTCCTTCTGGAACCGTCATCTTCCGCAGCACAATAACAAGTAAGTCAGAATCACATGACAGATAGCCAGTAAAGGCAAGAGATAATCTTTCTCGTGAAACCCTTACTGAAAAATCTTGGTTTACATAATGCCAGACAAGAGTAAACAATGTTTATAAAAAAATCACACGAGTCACAACATCCAATTGATCAACAAGTGCTGGAAAAAACCCCATCATATTTACACGATGATTAGGAGCTGAACAGACACAGACTGTGAGAAGAAAACACTTGTTACACCAAAAGTTGATTCTGGAGAATTCTACTGACCAAATCATGGGCCCTGATGTCAGGCCACACACACACAACGGTTATAGCTTCCATGGTGGACGTGGACAAGACACCAGCAAAAAAAAACGCCCTCAGCAAAACAAAACAAAAAAAAACCTGTCATTATTGACATTGTTAGGTCAACTCCACGTGGTGCTATCTAAACCAACGACCAGTGGAAGACTAGCCAGTCAAATACTGGGAAAGCAAAAATTGATTAAACAAAGAAGAAAAGAAGGGGGGGGAAAAGCACAATGGATGACCCCGAATTTAAAAAACAACAAAACCAACCTGCAACAAAGCAGTGAGTAAGAAAGAAAACAAACTGTGAAACACCTGGTTTCTCTCATTTGTAAAAACTGCACACACAATACTCCACTCATAATATCATAAGCAACAAACTGTCCACAGGGAAGTAAGTACCTTGCTCAACTCCACATCTCTGGACGGGGGCTCTCTCACTCCCCACCATGCCAGCACACTCTTTTGGCACACAACCTGAGAGTGACATACTCCCTTTGTGTTGTATTGGTAAGGTTTTAGTAAGGTTTTTACGGCGCTTGCAACTGCGTAAGCAGAGTGACATCTACCTCACTACATTGGTCATTCAATCAGAATCAAGACAAAAGAACTTGTTTGGAAAAATTCCCCTTATCAAAGTACTCCCGGTCAGACGGTTAGAGAGATCTATTTCTGGCAATCGCGGAAAATTAACGTCGTAGTAAAGCAATTTGACCGTTGACAATAGATCAACATGGGTAAAGCAGTTCTGACAAACCGCATGCCGCAGGAAGGGAGGAAAGGGCCCCGGTCTCCCGGAGATGTGGAGTTGTCAGGCAAGGCAATCAATAAGCTCAAGCTACACAGCCTTCCACAGGGTCACCAATGGGTTAATCAAGATGGTGGGACCAGAGAGTCAGTGCATCGCATCATACAACCAGCATAACCATCAATAAGATTAACATAGAAAAACAAAAGAATCCAAAAAACAAACAAACCAGTATATATATTAATTAATCGGTATGGCAAAAGTCCTCAAGGAGAGCAGCACAAGTGCAGAGATAAGCCACCAATATCATGGGCAGGGAAACAGGTGATCCAGAAGACACTCCTTTCTGCAAAAAGCTGATCAACAAATCAACAGTTACAATGAAGATTGGTGAAGAGATGATGAGAACAGGTGTCTCTTTTGCTCACTCAGATCATACTGGGAGTCCATGTACGCATGTAAGTTTGTTTTTTTAACAAAAAACAAACAAAAAAGATAAATACATTCAAAACAAAAAAAAAGCCTTGAACCATATCCTGAAGACACATGAGCAAAGAGTAAGTAATCAGTAACAGTAATAAAAAGAATCATGGTATCAAAAAGTCCGTGTAGTAAACAGGTAGGGCTCTTCAAGCAATACATCTGGTTCTATAGAAGTATCAAAAGCATGCATTATACATGAACAACTTAGCATTTCAATACCAGTAGAAAGAACAGTTAAAAGACAAAGAGAAACAGAGAGAGGGAGAGAGGGAGAGAGGGAGAGAGGGAGGACCAACAAAATTGTGCATAAAACGAGAAATTAAACTGATCTTGTGGTAAAAATCTGATATAAGTATAAGTAGCTTTGGAGAAAGTGGAAACGTCCCAGTGGGAGGCCGGCCCTCCACAACATATTTCTAACCCAGAAGAGTAAAGTAGAAAATACAAGCAAAAAAAATAAACCACAAAAAAGGAAGAGAACAGGGGAAAAGGGGTATGGCCATTTGTTCATTGATAAAATTTTCAAAGTCTATATAAGTAAATACAAACACTTCATAAAAATTTCCCAAATTATTGACCAGTAAATAAAGTCACACCTGATGTTACTGGAGAGGCTTTTTCATTCTCAGAATCGGCAAACGCGAAGCTAAAATTTAGACCAAACACTTGACAAGACATCCAGTCATTGTCCATCTTTCCAGACACAGTCGCTGGGACTGCCCAGGGCCCTCAACCACCCAGACTTTTCAAATGTCGGCCGCAGCAAAAGAAGACAGTAAAAGCTCAACTCAACTCATCATCCACCTATCCAATTTCCGCTGAGAACAAAATACACTCAGGCACTTTTTCATGTTGGAATGATATCAAGAGCAGGTAAAACAAGACAAATGAAAAGAGGAATCCAAAACAAAAAAAGAAGAAAAAGGAAAAACTGAAGAGAAAATAAATCAAATTCAATGAAAATCAGGGCATGGACTACATTTCAAATTCAAAGTCTCAAAATAATGCACACAGAAGTTGGTTCATGTCCAAGCATGTCGAAACATGTCGAAGCATGTCGAAACATGTCGAAGCATGGATAAATCCATTTGACTCAAGAATTTGGATTAAGTTACCATTTTTCGATTTTGTTAAAAACATTAAACAAATATGACTTAAATTTATGAGGGAGTATTAACTGACCACTGCCAATTGTTACTTTACGTAGAACAGATGAATCAGGGTGAAACATTTTGATTTTTGGCAGTTAAAATGGTGAGTTGGGGGGGGGGGGCAAGGGTGGTTGATAATAACAGGTGAACGGATGGTGCAATTATAGTCAACAACATGGAAGAACTGTTTCCTGTAACAAAATAGGACATTGAGGAAATACAGCATGCATGTGCATCAGAACAACTCAAATGACAAAAGAAAATAGAATTTACTTAGTCAGAGCCAAACCGTACAAATCTTTTACAAAAAAAAATATTAAAAAACAAAAAAGCAATTTATATTGCATATTGGGGCATAAACGGAAATCCATATTGCTGAACAGAGGAATTTTTGTGGAAAACAGTTACATGAATGGCACAGCTTTGAAAAAAAACCTTTTGACCTGTCCTTTTAAAAAAATTACTTTCCAGAGTCATCTTTCCACGGTACGACCAGCCCCCCTCTCTGGGTCGGCACAGAACCTGGTATCTCTGGCCACAGGGGACCACAACGGTACGTCAATTCACAGCAAATACTCAAGGACACGGTCGCTGAACCCAAATAAATACTTTTGAGTGGAATTTTTTTTTCTTAATGTACAATGCTCATGAGGTACTATAACGTTAAATAAATAAATAAATAAATAAATATTGACTAAATTTTCTTTTTTACTTAATACATCAAAAAGCATAAGAACAAATGCAAATCACACCTCATAACGATTTTTTTTTTTACAGATATAATCAAAAGTCAAGATCTTCAACATCCAAATGAGAAACATTTACATGTATTATGCATTCTACATTAAAGCATCATACAGCTTATCGGTCAACACTGAGGATCAACATCAACACATGATGTCGTAACAAATGCATATTATGAGGTATCAAAACTGTTCAAACACTTAGACTTTCAATTTTCACTCTCAACTTAAACAGAGAATTCATTTTTAGTTTTGCTCCCAGACAAAATTCTTCTTTTCTATGGTCAATCTAATGGGGTTTTAAGCCACTGACTACTGGCAACTTAAGTTAAAGAAGATATAAAGGGTTGGGTTTTTTTCTTTCTTTCAACACAAAACATATTCAAGCAGTTTGCTACATGCAACTAGGGTTTACAGCTATAAACCATGTGTAAGAAATGTGACATATTTCATGTCTTGCGAGTAAACAATACAGCAGAGGGTATATTTACTCCTTAAAAATTTGTCCTGTTCTATTCAGTCTGTCTGATACAAATTTCACCAAAAAAACCAAACATTTCATAAGTATCATTATATGAAGAACAGTTTTCAGTGTCATCAATTTAAAAAGTTACAATATCAAGAAACATTGACAACAACAATCTGAAAAGAAATGAACAACAAGAAGAATATTAAAAATGTGTTAAAAAAGACAAATCTCTTGTAAGACCATTTGGACATGACATCGCAGAGACAAACCACTGGAATTTCTATTGTTGTCTTTACTGGAAATACAACAAATCAAGAAGGAAAAACACAACAGAAAATGGCATTTTTTTAAAAAGAAGACAAAAAGTAGTAAGACTGATTAGCAAAAAACATGGAAGTCTCTTTTCGATGCACACAAAAAAAGTCAAAATCATCATCTCACTAATTGTGAATGAAAATCAAAACAACCAATTGATTAAAACATGAATGACTTTCTCATGGGTATAGCCACTGGGTGTAGCGTGAGCAAACAACATTAGCATCCAGCTAGCTTTCTGAAGAATTTTTTCAACTCAAATCTATGAACCATAAGGCAATATACCAGAATGCTGATCAATAGACAAGACTCCTTTAAATCTTTAAATCTTTCAATGCTTGCTTGTACTTTTTAGTAAATCACTGCTTCGTGTGAGGTATTACCGTGCTTTAAAAACAACATTTCTAAGCTTATATTTCTCTGTGATATTGCATTTATTATACTTTTACTACACTTTTACCCTTAAAAACCATCACATGATATACTTATATGTCCGGTCAGAACTGACAAGACCATTCAACGCGGGAAAAACAAGTGCAACACAGTAACATCTCTATCACCAAAACAAAACAGGCGAGCTGTCACACCAAAGTACAAAGCAGTTTCTCTCTCATCTTTTAGCAAACATCGCCCTCGGCAGAAAAGGGCCTCTATAAAGCATGCTGAACAAGTCAGAAGAAAGCCATTAAGTTTTAAGCTGAGTGGAGAAAAGAATTCCACAACATGTGATTTGTCCAAAAAGCATGCAATATTCAAAGAACAACGAAGCACCAGGAGGGCTTTTCCTTCAATAATATATATATGTATTCAACAACAACAAGCCAGCAGAAAAAGAACCTCAATCGCGTCCCTTATAACCCAGCATATAGAAGGGAGTACTTGTGCCGATTAAAGCAACATTCAACAATGGCAGAGAGAGAGGAAGGAGCAAGAGGCAAAGGTTTGCTTAGTAGTAGGACGAGTTGGAGTGGTTCCCATTGCCGTTACTTCTGGCTCGTCTGGTCTGCAGAAAGTGGTTGGAGCCACGGCTGGTGGGGGCCTGGGGCGGGTGCTGGGAGTTGGGGTCGTAGTTAAAGAAGTAGACGTTGCAGTCCTTGGTTGTCAGCATCAGCTCCAGCTTGGTTGGGTGGACGGCCACGTTGTGGCACTGGGCATGCTTGGTGATGGACTCAAAGATGTACGACGCTCTGCCCTCCAGGTCAAACACGGTGATGTTGAAGGTGTTGTGGTTGTCCGTGACCACGATCTGGTTCAGGTAGTTGATGGACACGCCGATGGGGAAGTAGGTCAGGTTGTCATTGCCAATCTTCTGGAGGAACTTGGCGTCGTAGTCAAAGACCTGCACACAGTGGCCCCGGTTGTCGCTGATGTAAATCTTCCCGTCTTTAGCAGCTACGTCGTTAGGGAATTCCAGATCCTTGGCCAGAGAGTGAGAGGCCAACTGATTCCCATCATGGTCAAACATGGTGAGCTTCATCACCTTGCACTCCACCACGATAATGACACCGTTCTCGTCCACGGTCACACCTCTGGGATGTTGGAGCACACTGCCGCCAAAACACCGGACAAAGTCTCCCTCGATGGTGAAGATCTGGACGTCATGGCTTGGGGGTCTCTCCGTGGCCACAATGTGCTTAGTGACCGGGCAGATAGCCACTCTGTTAGGGAAGTACAGGTAGCCGTCCTGGCGAGTGAATCCTTTGCCTCTTTGTCCACCTTTGCCCATCTCGTGGTCCTCCGACAGGGCTGGCAAATTTGGCGGCTGGCCTATAGAGCGCACGTACTCGTGATCTTTGTTGTAGTAGACAATGCGGTGGTTGTTGGTGTCGCAGATCACATAGGATCCATCCTCAAAGTATGCCTGGCCACTGGGTTCTGTGAAGGCGTATTCCCCACGTCCGTAGTCACCAAAGACGTGAACAAACGAAGTTCTGGTGCGGCATCGATTCAGGAATGGTATAAATGTTCCTTTCCTGTCGCGTTCATTTCCAGAGTTCCATGTAGAGATTGACATCGAATCAGGGGCGGCAGACCAGCGCTGATAGTTGCAGTCGGGATTGTCTGAGTGGCCAAATTCTGGGAAGTTGCGGCCTCTGGACAGCTCTGTCCTGATGGGCATGGGGCCCACGTTGAACTCGCTGTCGTTGATCTTGTACGTGACTGTAGAGAAGTTCTCCTGGATGAACTCGTTGGTCCTTGGGTAGTCTGGGTTGAAGGTGAACTCGAAGGACATTCCCTCGCTGCTGTGCTTCTGGCAGATCTCAGAGTACTCGGCCACGGCGCGCTTGTAGCTGCTCTCCATGTTGATCAGACTGGTCATCACCATAGACGGGGTTCCTTCATCCACAGAGAAAGTGTTGAACGACGATACAGCCTCAAGCTCGCTCTCGATATCGTCGATCAACTTGCTGAACTTGTTGAGCTGGGACTCCATCTGTTCCGCGGCTCTCTCCACCATATCGTGAGACACAGCCCTGTTCTGCTCGATGACGTTCTTCAGGTAATCCGCGTAGTCGTCCACGTTCCTCCTCGCCACCCTCTTCTTGTTCTCGATACTATTCTTTATATCTGGAATTTTCTTCTTCAGCTCCAGAACCTCTTTGTGCTTGATGCAGGCGTCTTCGTTCCAGTTCCTTAGCCTAGCGATAACGATGTTGTACGACTCCTGGAGGTCGTGGTTGTTGGATGAGTCGGGGTGGAGATGGTCGGTGGTGCAGTCATCGCAGATCATCTGAGGGCAGGTCACGCAGTACTTGGTGAGAGGCTTCTGGTAGTGGCGCTCACACATTGGCTCAAACTCTCCGTTCAGGTTGATCACAACCTTGGTAATTGGGTCCAGCTTGTGGGAGGAGAAAAGACGCATGGTTCCGTGGCCAGTCTGGCAGTCGTGGCATAAATACGCCGGGCAGGTGGTGCAGCAGATCACAGCTTCGTTTTCCCTCGAGCATGAAGTGCAAAAGAACGGATTCATCTTCAGCTTGTTGATCATGTAGCGACAGAGAGCGTAGTCGAGGAGCAGCTTCTGGGGCCCCTGGGGCACGGATGACGTCCGGTTACAGAAAGGGCAACATATGGTCTGTGTGGTTCCGTTGATCTTGTTACTGATACAGTTGAAGCAGAACACGTGCATACAGTCCAGGGTCATGGGCCACTTGTAGGGCTTCTGGCAGCCGCGGCACATCACACGGTCCATGATGGGGTCCGACATGTTGGGACTGAACGGCCCACTGTGCCAACCGTGGGGTGGGGGAGGGGGCAGGCTGAAATCTTGCGGGGAGGCAAAAGTTTGAAAAGGTGGCATCTGAGAGGGGCTAAAGTAGTTGTTACTTGAATTTTGACCAGAGAAAAAATTTGACCCTGAAGAATAATTATTGACTGGGGAATAAAAGCTACTTCCTCTATTAGACATGCTCATATTCTGACCAGAACTAAACACATTGTTACCCATGGGAGGGAAAGGGTTACTGTTGTTCATGAACTGCTGGCTACTGCCGTGGCCAAATCCAGAGGAGACGTTCTGGAAACCTCGAGGGGAAGTAGACGTCTGAAATCCTGATCCCATGGAGCTTGGTTCATTGCTAGGCGCCATGTTTCCTGCGCCTCCCATAGCTCCTGCCGTCATTCCTCCAGTTGCCATTCCGCCAGTCGCCATTCCGCCAGTCGCCATGCCACTGCCAGAGTTGGACTGATACTTGTCAAAGAACTTGGAGAGACCCATCACGTCGAAATCGTTCTGGACTCGCGTCTGAAAGTTCTGGACATATCCACCGACCACGTTGACCATGTCCATCGGGTTGGAGGAGCTGAAAGGTCCGGGAGCGGTCGTCCCTGACGCAGGTCCTGTGAGGAACACAAGAAGGAAATACAACATTTAGAACTAGTTATAATAGAGGTTTTTGTTGGTTTTGTTTGTTTAGTATAGGGTTTTACGGCGCTCCCAACATAGAGGTTTTTGGGCGCTCGCAACTGCATAAGGTCATATGAGCGCCAGAAGATTAGAGGGGTTACAAGAGAGTAACAAACATAAAAAAGAAAGGCGAGATAAGGACAATAGATGTTTGATAGGAAAGAAGAAGCAAACCACACCAGAGCACCCGCCAACAACCCACGTATCTATCTTGTGCCGCATTATGAAAACATTGAAACATTTTTTAAAAACCAGTTAGCAAGACAACAGCTCCACTGCTCAGTCTAAGAACAAATGTTTCTGTTTTAGTAAGGTCTTACGGCGCTCGCTTCTGCATAAGGTCATTTGAGCGCCAAGGGGTGGATGTTAAAAGGGATGTCCAAACAGGGAATCAGGCTTACTCTGCTCACCTCTAAAGCCTCAACAGCACAAAGTCAGCTTCGACTATCAAAGCATCCCAGAAATAGCAGTGACAAATATACAAAGGAAGTAGAGGTAAAATGACGACAGTAAGGATGAGGAAAGAAAAAGCAGCAGTTCCCCCCATGTTGATTCGGCACAATAAGAACATTTTTAAAAAACATTTACATAACAGCGAACATCCCAGCAGTAATGGGTACCCGACTTCGAGTTGGGGAAGTTAAGGGGCGTTGGAAAGGATCTGGCCACCCTACCACAATATGCCCAAGGCCCAGGAAGTTGTCTCTCTAACAAGGCAATCTCCAATGTCTGGATGGGATGGGGGGACAACTTTTCTTTTGTTTTAGTAGAGGTTTTACGGCGCTCGCAACTGCAGAAGGTCATATGAGCGCCAGAAGATTACAAGAGAGTATAGTATAGTATAGTATAAGGTTTTACGGCGCTCGCAACTGCAGAAGGTCATATGAGCGCCAGAAGATTACAAGAGAGTATAGTATAGTATAGTATAAGGTTTTACGGCCCTCGCAACTGCAGAAGGTCATATGAGCGCCAGAAGATTACAAGAGAGTATAGTATAGTATAGTATAGTATAAGGTTTTACGGCGCTCGCAACTGCAGAAGGTCATGTGAGCGCCAGAAGATTACAAGAGAGTATAGTAGAGTATAGTATAGTATAGTATAGTATAGTATAGTATAGTATAGTATAGTATAGTATAGTATAAGGTTTTACGGCGCTCGCAACTGCAGAAGGTCATGTGAGCGCCAGAAGATTAGAGGTGTTACAAGAGAGTAACAAACATAAAAAAGGAGGGAAGATAAGGACGATAGATGTTTGATAGGAAAGAAGAAGCTAACCACACCAGAGAACCTGCCAACCACCCATGGGAACAACTTTACTTCACTTTACTTTACTATAATAGAGGAGGACTGTAGTAATGCTGACTCACCCGTCACGCCAGAGGAGAAGGCCTGTTGCTCCATAGAGCGGGGCGCGTCCATCAGGTGACCCAGCTGTACTGTGTTGGCCGGGCTCTGGGTGCACGTGCTGGCCATGGACAGCAGGCTCAGCTGGGAGACGATGTCCGCCTCCGTCGTGTTGGCTTCTTGCTTCCCGCACAGGATGCTCGCCTGGGAGTCTCCCACCATCTGAGCAGCTTTGTCCTGGAAATGTATAAACAAATGTCATCATTGTCAAGAGAAGAAATTGCTTTTATATTGTTTTCAATTTTATCATCTTCCATGGCTACCTTTTCTACTTTTCAGTTATCTTTAAGTATTTACCTCAGATACCACTAGTAGCCAGTTATACTTTTCTTCAACTGACATCCAAGTACACAAGTTTTTCCCCAATGTATTCCAACAGACATATTCGGATAAGTTTCCGTCAAAGCGTGTTTGATAGGAAAGAAGAAGCAAACCACACCAGAGCACCCGCCAACCACCCACGCACAAAGTCTGCTTTGACTCTCAAGGCACCCCGGAAATAGCAGTTCACAAGAGAGTGACAAACTTAAACATACACAATAAGTAGAGAGGTAAAATGACGATAGTAAGGATGAGGAAAGAAAAAGCAGCAGTTCCCTGCAGCAATCATGAGCCTACCTTGTCCAACAAGTCCTGGGGGTCGTCCCCCGAGGGGTGCATGTCCAGGTGCTGCAGAATGTGCTTGGCCTGTTGCTCTAATGAGGGGTCGGCCGGGCTGGGCTGGGGCATGGCCGACAGGCGAGCCTGTGCCTGCTGGCGCGTTGAGTCGCCCGCCTCTCCACCGTTCCCGCTGGAGCCTCCTGAGGACACAGAGGATGAGCGGCTGTTGCGTCTGTGTTCTCCTATAGCCCCGTGAAGGTCTGAGGAGGATATCATAGTTGGTGCCAGTGAGAACAGGCACATTCACACAAGTAATAAACGGTGGGTGTGGGGGGAGCTGTTTAACGGCGCTTGCAGCACAATAAGGTCATATAAGTGCCGAAGATTAGGTGTTACAAGAGAGTAACCAACGAAAAAGAAGATGGGGATATAAAGACGATAGATGTACGATAGGAAAGAAGAAGCAAACCACACCAGAGCACCCGCCAACCACCCACTGTGGGGGGGAGTGAAATTAACCAAAACAAAAACAAAAGTAATTCCACATGCTAAAGGTTATTCAGATCTAGGAAAGAGAAAGACACTGAGTAAAGAGAGCAAGCACCCCCACCCCCCCCCCCCCCCCATCAGATCGTTAGACCATGTCACTTCTACCATGTGTGTCAAAATGCAGATCTCTGGCACCACTCAGGTTATGAAAATTCCAGCATTAAAAATGGGACAATATATAATGACAGTAAGTGAACTTATGTTGCCGCATCCAAACAAAGAAGGGGCATCGAAACAACTTGGGACTTGAACATAAGGAGGAGATAAATCAAAAAGGAAGAAAGAAAACTTGGGGTGGGGCAGGAGGTTTGTTTTATTTGAGTAGGGGTTTTACAGCACTATCGACTCAAAAGTTTTGTTTCGGGGGAGGGGGAATGGACAACAGAAAATGAAAAGTTCAGCCTTACGCCGAATTCAGGTTCAACTAATTAAAAATGAGTCAATCGTCACAAATGCAGTCTACTTTTGCCTTCTGTACAATATTGGGAAAATGACAAAAGAACGCAGCTACTCACTGGCTGCCATAGCAGAGAGGGGCTGTGGCAAGTTCTCTTCAGCCTCGGGGGGTGTGCTGGACTGAGGAGCGGACGACCACGAGGGTCTGGAGGAGTTCTGGGTTGCTGGGCTGCTTCCAACCATGGCCATTCGCCTCAAATCTGTCGCCCCCGGATGCCAAAGGTAATGAGAAGCAGGGTGTGTTTGGCCTAGACAACAAAGAAAAGAAAGTGTTACAAACACGGCCCAACCTACGGCCCAACCTACGGCCCAACCTACGGCCCAACCTACTCTACTCTAACAGACTAACGGCCACTTGGAGAAGACAACCTACTCTACTCTAACAGACTAACGGCCACTTGGATAAGACAACCTACTCTACTCTAACAGACTAACGGCCACTTGGATAAGACAACCTACTCTACTCTAACAGACTAACGGCCACTTGGATAAGACAACCTACTCTACTCTAACAGACTAACGGCCACTTGGATAAGACAACCTACTCTACTCTAACAGACTAACGGCCACTTGGATAAGACAACCTACTCTACTCTAACAGACTAACGGCCACTTGGATAAGACAACCTACTCTACTCTAACAGACTAACGGCCACTTGGAGAAGACAACCTACTCTACTCTAACAGACTAACGGCCACTTGGATAAGACAATATCATCAGTTCAAACGACACTTCAAACTCTAATCCACTGAGGTCACAGACTTATTTGAGTCCAACTATCACAGACCTGTCATAACCTATTCATCAGTTTGTGTTGGGGCTCTTATGGTCTAGATGTACATTGTTCACCTCTCATTGAAAAGGTCCTGGGTTCAAAACCTGAGAGCATCTCTGCTTTTATCTTCACTTTCTCAAAAATCCTTTTTTTTTTCAAGAAAATTGCATAACATCAAATAATGGTGAAATACAGGGAGGCATGCCCCCAGAAACCCCCTACCCATGCCTAATTTGTTGAAAAGAAGTATAGTACTTGGGCCCATTTAAAAATCATCATATATGGATGTATTGATATATACATATCTTATAATTTGCTGTGGATATAAAGTTAAATTAAAAATTTGTTTAACAAGCAGAAAAAAAATATGAACAAGAAAATTGCTTTCGAACGTCTGAACATGAGTCAAGTCCACAAGTAATTAGTAAAATAAAACCGTACCAACAGGGGCCCGGAGAGATATAAGAACAATAAACGTTTGATAGAAAAGAAAGAGCAAAATCACACTAGCCAGAGCACCCGCCAACCACTCACAGATCAGAAGTGGTAAAGCCATCTGAAAAAAAAATAGGGAAGGGATCCTGGTAGATTTTTACTTATGCACCCACACATATATGCTTTGATTGGAGGGAAAAACTGCCATAATTTTTGCTGTACAACACATGTATGGCCCCTAAAACCCTTGCAAATTAATTGTGTTTTCAGGTAAATATCAATCTGAATTGCCAAAACATCAAATCATTGTGAAATGCAGGGATATAGTTAAATTTACTACAATGTATTTTCAAACATCAATAACTCAATAACTATTGATTTGCGGCAAAAATGAAGACCCAGACCATATTCGAGTTAAGCATGCAAAAGGTAAATTTTTACTTTCACTCCCGCACACAGATGCACTGTTTCAGGGGTCAAACTGCGGTATTTTCTTACTTTTTTCTACTGTTTGCTGCAGATCACACATAAAGCCACTAAAACTGTCGCAAAGCAATTATTTTCAAGACAATTTCAAATCTAACTAAAATATCAAATCATGGGTAACCCCCCAGATTTTCTTTTACCCCAGGTGGCCTGGAACCCCCCCAATTGGTCCAAAGCATGTCTATCTCAGTTAAAAACAATAAAATATTTCAAAAAACTATTAAATTGCTACGGAAATGAAGTTGATATTCGTGTTCAGCGCATCAATATTTAGTAGAAAATAGACAACTGGTAGCTGAGTGTGAGACGGGAGGGAAAGTTTAAAAAAATACCGAAAAGAAGTATATAAAACGTGACCATGAGACGGGTGCATAAGTAAAGTAAACAGAAGTCTCCCAGTTAATCCCCTCTCCAGCCAAAGTTTTCTTAAATGTCATTTGGAAATGTTTGCTTTTCCTGGCATTCAAATGATAAAAGAAGGATTGAGCGAATCATGTAAGGCCTAATTGTAAGAGGTTCACAGCACTTGCAACACAATTATTAAGTAAGTCATAGATCTATATATATATATATATATAGATTCTTAGTGATGATCATGAGGTGTCACAAGCAAGCAACAAAGAAAAGGAGGAGAGGGATGTTATAGATCTAGAGATGTTTTGATAGGGAAGAACAAAGCTAATCACAACAGAGCACCCGCCAACTGTCTCCAAGAGGCTACAGCCTACACACATACTTGTAATGGAAGTCAAGGAAGTAATGGTTAAAAATGATGATAAACTAACAGAGATCTCACTCTATTTCTAAAAAACATGAAATAGTCCCAAGCCCAAGTATGCACAGTACAGTCAACAGACAAGACAGAGAGAATGACAGACAGACAGATTTGAGAGAGAGACAAAAAGAAGAGGACAACCAGTGCCTAGATCTAGACCTAGATTTAATTCGGAGAACAAGAAGTTTCTGCCAACAAAGACTTAGACTAGAGTAGGGCACCCGAGAACAAAAATACAGAACTAAATCCAATCGCCTAATCCTAATCAGTTCCAAACAGAATGGCCCCAAAATTTGAACACTTGGACATAACACTCAAACAAAAAAATGAAGTAAAGCCAGTGAAATCAAATACAGCCTAGATCTATTTCCCTTCCTGACAAAAAAATTTCGCGTAGTATGAACAATGAACTGTGAGCTAGACTACGGTCCAACCCACACACACACAAACTTTTTAATTTAAATAATTAACTACTAGATTTCTAGATCCAGGCAGTTTATCATTCGCATTAAAAAATCATACACACTACAGATGCAGGGTTTTCATGACGCGTGCACCGATCCAAAAGTAAAAGTTCTCAAACGTTGGCCGACAAACCGCGAGTCGTCATGTAGATCTACTTGCTACCCTGCACAGACTGATCGGTAGTAGCGTCACTTGACCTACTCTGTCCAACATGTGCTCAGCACGTGCCAGCCAATCCAGGTAGAAAGACGGGTACAGCTTTGTACTTTAACTTTTTACAAATAGAATCTATAGATGTATAAGTACTCGATCTCTGTAAACGAAAACATTTTCGTAAACTTTAAACAGTACTTCAAACCAAGCGCATTTTACTGACAATGCTGGAAAAACACATTGTATTGTACATGGTGGGACTTGACTTTTACTTTAAAATTCGCCACCAGAATTTTACTAAATTAGAACCTATACTAATCTTTAAAAACCCAAAGTGTGAATTACTTGGATGTCCACGTTGTAGAATAGACCGTGGCGACGGCGGGGATCCTGGTCTCTGCATGGTTGTCGATGTCCGAAATAGAGCAACAAACTCAACAAGACATGTCGTCTCACAAACTCCTCAAAGAATACAACAAGTGGTGGTGTCGAAAAGTGACCATCGGACACGGCTACCCCGTCTTTATAGTAGGGAAGGAAGGGGAATTCCCCTACATTCGCCAGGTAGAAAGAAAAAGCATGCCCAATTAGAACCCATTTTTCTCACAACAAACTGACCGCCTAAACAGCGATTGGTCACTGGGCCAACCTCCCCCCCCTCCCCCCCCCCCCCCCCCCCCCGCCACTCCCCCCGTGGTCATAAGGCCCTCTTGTTGCACGCTGAGAAGATTACGGTGGTTGCGTTCACATGACGGTGGTCGATGTAACAAGCCTCCACAAAGAAACTGGGCTTGTTTGGTTTTAGGAAGAGTTTTACGGCACTTGCGACACGTGACAATAAGGTCATCGGAGTGCCGAAGATTAGGTGAGTGTGACAAGAGAGTAACAAACACAAAAAGAAGGAGGGGAGATAAAGACGATAGACATAAGATAGGAAAGAAGAAGCAAACAACACGAGAGCGCCCGCCAACCACCCACGCTGGTCTTGCACGTGTTTGCGTGGCTATTACGTGCGATGATGGACGGGTCAGCTGGACCGTAGCACCACCACACGGTCTCCGCCCTACATGGTACAACAATGTGCTACTGGCTTCACGGACACCACTTTGACCTTGGGCGGGGTCAGCCCGTTTGACACCTGGATGTACCGCCTACTTTTCGGGGGGACACACGCACTACGAGGACTCGGCAACACGTGAAACTTTTTTGTTTTTTAATGTTGTTAGTGTTTTTAAGCTTCCTCCATCAACAGATTTTAGTTTTAGTAAGAGTAAGAGTATTACGGCACTTGCAACACAATTTGGTCAAATAAGTACCGAAGATTAGAGACGTTACAAGAGAGTAACAAACACAAAAAAGAAGGAGGAGAGATAAGGACGAGAGATGCTTGGGAGGAAAGAAGGAGCAAACCACACCAGAGCACCCACCAACCACCCACGACAGAATTTAGATCATTAGGGAGGGGGTGCAGTGCAGGCACCGAACCTGCTTGTCAGGGCTAACGAGGACTTCAAAGTTTGAGTGAAGAAAAACACATAATAATAATATACACAATTATGGTCATATAGTGTAGGGCTGGAAAGAAGCAAGACAGGAACGGGGGAGGGGGGGGAGGGGGCAGGACCAACCAGTGGCACCTTCCAACCACGAGTCAACCCGAGCTGAGACTGAGATGGATAAAAAGAAACCTGGGCTGAGAGGGAAAAAATATCCCAGCATAAAGACCCAGATACTCAATAAAAATGTTTTATTCCCACTCGGGAATCGAATTCGGGTTTCTTATGTGCGACAGCGAAGCGCCTTACCACTACATCGTTCAGTTGTATTCGTTTTAGCAAGATTTTTACGGCACTCGCAACACAATAAGGTCATATAAGTGCCGAAGATTAAAGGTGTTACAAGAGAGTAACAAACACACAAAAAAGGAGGGGAGATAAAGACGACAGCTGTTTTGGTAGGAAAGAAGAAGCAAACCACAGCAGAGCACCTTCCAACCACCCACTTAATTTGATTTGTTTTGAGGAAAGAGAAGCACATCGACACAACGACGGTCATTTAGTGCTTTTGGGGGGGGGGGGGTGAAACAGACACACAGAAACAAGAGAGGGAAAGTAAAAAAGGGGACCAACCAGTAGCGCCCGCCAACCACCCGAATTCT